CCCCCCCCCCTCTCTTTCCTCTGCTTCTGTACAATTTCTTTATGGATCGAATAGGTTACTCTTTAGCGACAACGGTTTTTTGCTGCTTTCATACCGGCCAGCACTTCAGGCCGCACAAAGTCAACAGTTCACATACTTCTTTCATTGTTCCTTTCAGATGAGTGAGATCCACATGAACGGAAACGGCACCGTCTTGGGTGCGTGCACGTTACCCATTCTAAGCCATACACCGGAAATGTATGGGGACGAGATGTCTGCAGTGTCGGTGGCGACGCCGCTGCCCGACCTCTTGCCGCGGAGCTTCGACGAGATTCAGCGCATGCGCAAAATGCGAAAGGACGCGGAGAGCGGGAAGAAGTACGTACCTCCACGCTGCGATCTGCCGCCGCCGTACGTGAATGACGATGAGTGCGACGAGTTCGAAGACGCTACCATCGACACCACCGTGGAGAACCTGTCGCAGGAGAAGCGGAGGGAAAAGTACCAGCTCAAAGGTCCGTCGGTGGATGGGGAGGTGTCGCCCGTGTNACCGTGGAGAACCTGTCGCAGGAGAAGCGGAGGGAAAAGTACCAGCTCAAAGGTCCGTCGGTGGATGGGGAGGTGTCGCCCGTGTTTGACAACGGAATGCTGTACAAGATCATCGCAGACGATGGCTCGTGGTACTTCTATAACGACACGGAAAAGTATGAGATGCAGGTACGCTTCCGCTTCGGGTCCAAGTCGGACATCACACCGGGAGACCGTGTTGATATGTTTGTGCGGAGCGACAAGGAGCTGGAGGCTTCCCTCACCTTGTACCCAGAGGAGACTCTGAAGCTCATCAGTGGCAAAGTGAACGGCTTCAAATGCATGGCAAAGGCAGTGGCGCTGCACGATGATAAGCGTGAAGAGGTCTTCTCCATTATCAATAATACTATTGCGGGTGATTTGACCCGCATTGCCGGTGATGTCGGTGCAGAGAGCATGCTTACTCTGGAGGAGGGGCAGGTGCTGCAACACTGCATCGAGAAGGAGTTGCCATACGTTGACTGCGACTTCCGCCCCTGTGACGACTCGCTGTACCGCCCTGATGTGGACGCGTACAAGGTGCGCTCGCTGCCGTGGCGCCGTCCCGATGGATACATCCCGCCGGACCAGCTCGGAGAGGTACGCCTCTTCCGCCGCACTATCCTACCGTCGCAGGTGACTCAAGGCGATATCGGTGACAGCTACCTCACCTCCGCCATTGCATGCCTCGCGGAGTCACGCGACCTGGTTCACGACCTCTTCCGCCACCCCGTCAGCGCCGCACACGGGAAGGTTGAGCGTGCACTCGGTGCCTACTGGGTGACGCTGAACTACAACGGCTGGTGGTGCCCGGCGCTGCTGGATGACTACCTGCCAGCCTACCGCGAGGGACCGGAGTTCGCGCGCTGCGCCGTTGACCTGCGTCGCATGTGGGTTGCGCTGCTAGAGAAGGCCTACGCAAAGATACACCACTCGTACTCAAACATCGCCAGCGGTGACCCGCTTGAGCCACTGCAGGACTTTACAGGATTCCCCGTCACCCGCTTCGATCCCGACTGGGAGGAGGCGGTAAACGGCGACGACGCCCTATTCAAGAGGATATTGATGTACAACAAGAAGGGATGCATTACGATGCTGTACACGCCGCGCAGCGAGATGCCAAACGGCCCCTTCATCAACGACAGTGTATCCCCCGAGCAGGCGGAGTTGGAGGCCAAGTACCAGGAGATGGGGTTGAAGCTCCACTGCGGCTACACAGTGCTTCGCACTAAATATTTTGAGGACTTTGACCTCCGTCTGGTGCAGGTGCGCAACCCGTGGGGCGATGGTGACGAGTGGAAGGGCAACTGGAGCAAGAACGACAAACGGTGGGAGAAGTACCCGACGGTGAAGACTGGCTGCTTTCCCGACAACGGTGACCCGACGGAGCTTGACCGAACCTTCTGGATGGAGTGGAGCGATGTCGTGTCGACGTTTGTCGGCGGTGGTGTGTGTCACGTGAAGAGCAACTGGTACGACTACCGCATCCGCGGCGAGTTCATTGAGGGATTCCCGACGGTGAGCTTCGAGATCAATGTCGCCGACCCGGTGGACGCCTACATTGTCCTCTCGCAGGAGGACGAGCGCGATGGCGACGAGTTTGAGTACGCCGCGATGCTCGTCAGCGTATCGCGCCACAATGGGAAGAACGAGAAGATGGAATGCACCAGTAACGTCGATGTGGAGAATCCGGACAAGCAGCTGAAGTTTAACTTTGCCCGTGACGTCGCGCTGCGCTACACCTTCGAGCCGGAGGGCAACCCGTACTTCGTCATCCCGCGCATCCACGACGCCGCCATCTCGAAGCCGTACGTTCTCGGCTTGCTGCTCGACACGTACGCCGGNAACGGCATCAAGGTGGAGTTCAAGACCATCGACAAGGAGTGCAAGGTGTTCCAGAACATGCCGAGATTCTCGGTGAAGGGCATGGCGCAGGACATCGCCACGGAGTACCAGATCCGCAACCCGCGGCAGCCAACGGAGTGCGTCGGCTCGGAGCTGAAGGATGAGCGTCTGAAGGAGTTCGGCCTGTACGAGGAGTAGACCCAGACGGACAGAGAGGGCGAGGGAGAGAGAGAGAGAGAGAGTGAGTGAGCGAGAAAGTGAAATAAAAATATTTCGCAAGAAAAGAAAAGTCTACGTAGCACAGGTGCTGGAAGGTGCAGAAGCCGCAACAGCAACAATACCGTTGCGTGGTGCTCGGTGTGGGCGAGGCGGCGGTGCTGGGAAATAGAATGTGCTCAGATCTGTCGCTGGTCCGCGCGGGAGGGTGATGCGACCTGCCTCGCCGATGGCGCCGCTTCCTTTGCCTCTTTGTTATTTTTGGTGTTTCCCCTTTCTTCCCTTCGTTCTCTTGACGCATATATTTCTCCGGGCATGCCTATATCACTCACATTCGCGTGTGCGCGTGGTGCCGTTTTCATTGTTTTTTTTTTTGGTTTTTTTCGCGTGCTTCGTTTTTTTGTCATCCACAGCGCTAAACGCAGTCTGTGCTGCTTGCTGCTCTTGTTGTTCCTCTCTCTCTCTCTCACTCTCTCTACGCCCGCCCAATCTATGGTGTGGGAGGGGGGGAGGGAGACCGTTACAGCAGCAGCAGCGCATAGGCCGCGGGCTGCGCGCTGATCGGTGAATGACGCTTCCGCAGCTGAAGTGCGGAGCCGCCCGCCCCGCGCCACCCCCGCTCTCACACACGCACGCNCGCACGCCAGGCTGGGGGCAGCAATCATCCCTGCGGCCTGCACGCGCTCTGGGGGGTCTGCTGGGTTTTTGCGCGGGTCGGCACCACCGCCGCGCGCGCGAAGTGTGTAGAAGAAAGTTCCTTCCCTCTCTCTATGATTGTGAAAAAAAAAAATGAAACAAAAAAACAACACAAACAACGCCAAATACTGGTCATACAGCAGATGCCTTCACACGGAGCGACAATGCGGCGACGCCTGGCTGCAGCACTATCTCCTCGCGGAAACTGAGACGTGTTGCCGCTACTGTCATTTGCATTGTTGACTACACAGTTGGAGAAGGGCACTGCTGGTGGGTGAAGCCGTAACAGCAACTTGCGGAGCCAGGTGAAGATTCCCCCATGCCCTTCTTTAAAGAAAGAAAAACATCTCTCCGAGTCGCACTGGCAGGTGATTCTTTCTGTGCTTGCCCCAGTTATGGCGGCTACCCTCCTCCGCACTGCTTTGTCCCTTGCATATTTCCTTTCCTTCTCTTTTTTTTGGCGTCGCTGCCGTTGAGGCTGTAGGCTCGCCACCACCTCCCAGTTGTTTAACACGTGTGCGTTTGTCTGTGGAGTGATGCCGCTGAGGGAAGTGTCGGGCTCGGCACAGGCTTCGCGGCCGCGTCGATGCGCGCGGCAAACGTCGCCAACATCTGCGGTGCCAGCGGGCGCCACGTATCGGGAGAAGCTCGTGGCATTCTTTCAACGCCACGGCACAGCAACGCCACTGCAGCATCGGGAAAGCACAAAGGGAGGTTGCACAGCGGCCCAAAGTAGTTACTGTGAGCAACTTCTGCCGTTGGTGCGGTAGGCCAAACCATTAAAGGTGAAGCAGCTGGGCTGGCTTCTGGAAGAGTACGAGGGGAAGGAGGGGATCCTCCTTGAGTCGATGAGGAAGAAGTGCGCCGCACAAGATATCGTGTCACCAGTGGAGCCACGAGCGGTCACCCTTACGGTCCATAGCACGCGGCGGAACTACTAGAATCGTTTAACAGCTTTCTTCTCTGTGTATAATCCGACGAAGGTGTCGCGGGCCGACAACATTCTTCATAGATACGCCTGTCATGAGGAAAAGATGATGGCTGCACTTGTGAAGCGCTACGGCCCGGAGCACTAGAGTGGTGCTTTAGGGGCGCCAGAAGCAGGAGTTCTGACTTCTGCACAATCAGCAGGCAAGGGAAAGAACTTTGCGGACACTCGGCACGCCTCTGCCACACAGCAGCAGAAACAGCAAGAGAGCCACTCAGATAATGGGGCTACTGAAGAACGCATAGGTGGGAAGGATGGATCACAGGATGCCCTCACAAATGAATCCGCATTGAATATCACGGACGTGGCATTACTGTCACCGACATTAGTCACAGCAGAGGATGAGCTTCACTATGCTGGCAATCACAATGACGGTGCATTGGAGGCGAAGCCGCACCCCGCGCATTCGGAAAAAAAAACGTAGAGAGAGATGCTGCACGATTCATCTCCCTTTTCGCTGCAAGGTTGGGGGTTTTAGTGGGAACGGAAGGTGGAGATTTGGCGCCGGGCGGAAGTGCTCTTCCACAGCGATGACGCGGATATGTTGTTGAGGTCAGCTCGCAACTCATGCTCTGCCGCCTCTTGCGAGGATATGCCGGACCCTCTCCCATGCGTACTGCAAGATGTGCCGCACTCGGAGCTGCAGCAGTGGCGGGAAAGCAACTTCACACGTGCGTAACTTCTTGCACGGAGGCAACGACGTTCAGTGAGGCGACCCCTCATAAGTTGGACAACTCCTTTACTCTGTGTAGAAGTTTATCGGTGTTACTGTAGATATCGAATATGCGAGAAATGTACACGTATCTGTGGCTGCATCTGCACACTCTGTGCTCGCAGCATCAGAGGACGACACCACACACACTTCGTCTCTTGTTAATTCCACGGAGAGAAGAAAGGGTATTTTTTTAATCCTTTATCGACGCAGTATGGGCGGCTCTTCATCGAAGAACAAAAAGACAAAAACTGCTCCTCCACAGAAGGCAAAGAGAGCAGCAGTAGTAGCAGCACCTGTACCTCCTCCTTCCACGTCTCTTTCTGCACCACGTTCGGCGGCTAAGAAACATGCTCAGCCCACAGAGGCGTCTGAGCAATTTGGGCAACGTATTCGACGCTTCTATCTGTTCCACAGTCCTGAGAAGGTGAATAACGTGCCCCTTATTCTACGCATGTGGAAGGGAACTCAGGCGGAGCTCATGCAGCACCTAGTCGCGCGCTATGGGCCTGAGCCGGACGAACAGCAATTGCCGTCACTACCTCCGCCACCTCCGCTAGCTGAGCCGGCTTCTGTCTTCGTGAATATGTGGGTGCCACGGTATGCGCGGTACCTGCTGGCGTACAACGAGCAAGCCCTGCAGAGCCTTGATATGACGCTACAACAAGCACAAGGTAGGGAGGCGGAGCAACTCAAGTCACTTGTCCTAGAAGTGGGGCCAGAGCCGCAGGGCCCGCTGCCTGATGGTGTCCCTGATGCTGCACTCGCGCCTCACACGGAGACAGCCCACGTGGATGATGCCGACGCACATACAACAGAACCTGCCCAGGAAGCGGCGCTCACTCTAGTTGAAGAGGAGCAAGGAGAAGGCTTGAAACAGAGGCCAAGAGTGTATTCGCTCAAGCGGCGCCTGAGCAGTTTTCTCGGCGTTCGGGCACCAAAGAAACTTCACGCACTCGAGAAGTGTCTGGAGCGTTACGCCACAAACGAGGAGGAGCTTTTCGATTTCCTGTGCGATACGTATGGCCCCGAACCCAATGAGGAGGAGACGCAGGCGTACTTTGTGAGGCGTCTTGAGGCACTCTACTCGTGCTACGCACCCGGTAAAGTCACGTCTGCGGGGCCCGAGATCGCCGCGCACCACGGTGAGGAGGAAGAGTATCTGCAGGCGCTCGCGGCGTCGCTGGGCGCTGATCCCATGATGGCGATCCCGGCGCGCGTCACACACTCGCACCTGTTCGAGTATGTCGACACAGATGCGCAGGAGGAGGCGACGGGCAGCCAGTGCAGCGCACCACACCCCTCGCACGCTCTCATGGAGCCGCCGCCAAATGAGTTGCCGCGTGAGCATGACGAACAAGGCAGTGACGCAGAGTGCGTCAATGCGTTCGATGACGATCCTGCTCGTAAGCCGGATGCGGGCTTCGAAGATGTGGCGCCACCAAGCGGTGGTGTCGTACAGCCGTCGGAAGCCACGCTGGGGAAGAATGTTCAAACAGATTGGAACGCAGAGAAGTACCGGCTGATTGCCGAGGACCAGCAGCGGCAACTGGACGAGCTCCGTGCAGAGGTTGGACGTCTTCGCAGTGCGCAGTATGAGATGCCTGCTCGTTTCCCCCATGAGGGTCTAAGGCCCTTCGCTGTGAGGGAACGTAGCGACCACAGTTTGCTTCATTCACCCGATGCAGTGCAGCAAAGACCGTATCAAGTGCCGCATGTTGGTGAATCTCATGCGAGCTCTGGGAAGAGCGTGCTGTTCGCTGGATACGCCCCGAAGCAGGATTTTCATGGGTTACTTCTGCCGCCGCCACCCTTTTTCAAGCCGCCGCGTGACAGTTTCCCAAAGAAGCGGCAGCCTTATGGAATGAGTCCGCCGTCGCTGTTTGTATCCCGTAAGTCGACCTCCTCAACCACGCGGCGTGTGCGGACGCTCACGGAAATGCGCGTGGAGTACGAGCGAGAGCGGGAGGCCATCCGCTCCGGAGAGGGCCAGTTGGATCCTTACAATGTTCTCCACTAGGCATTGCGAGTGTTACTCTGCTAGGAGGCTCTGGCTGGTCTTCAATCTATCGAAGTAAGGGGGGAAACACCTTGCGTGTACACGGTGTTGCACAGGGATAAAGAGTAGCGCAGTAGCCATGTTTCTGATCTCTTTTCTGTGTTTCCATGACTGATAGTGGTGCGAGTGTATTATGTTTCCTTCTTTTTATTCCGCGCCTCTTGATCTGCTGATTTATTCACGAACCACGAGCCACTTGTAGCGCTTCTTTCTAACGTATTCTTTGCGTACTCTCCGTTTTTATTCCACAGTGGTGCAATGCGGCCATTGAACGAATACCGTGTGCCAAAGTAAAGGCTACCATCCGGACGGCGATGTGTGGGACTCTTTGCGAGGGTCTTGCGTAACCCGAGATCCTGTGGTATCGTGGCAGTGTGCAGCACACGTCACTGAGGGAGTGGGGAATGCATAAAGGAGGCTGCTATCTACAGGGCCGTTGTTCGGCTGGGAGTGCTTGAAACACAAGGCAGTTTCAATTTTCAATGGGCATTCTATTTTTCCTCGCTGGCAGCTAGAGCGCCATGACTGTTGTTTTGTTTTTTCGTTGCCGTTGCACACATCTTTACCTTTTGTGCTGACGCTGGCATTCAAGGAGGTACGTGCCCATGTTGACCGCAGAGGGTGTATACAACACCCGGCTGCTGCGTGAAGGTTTGGTTTGCCAGTTGTCGTGCGCCGAACACCGATGAGCCCTCACCTTGAAAGGCGCTGCGGTATTGTCATCCTGTGAGCGAATACGTGTCCTCTGGGGACAACCCAAGAATGTTGCTGGCGTGGACCTCCATCCCCTTTTGTTGGGCGACAACGCCGTTTTGGGGCGTAATCGCATCTTTCCTTTTCGCTTCTTTCACCGCTGATCTCCTCTTCTTGTTTGCCCTATAGTGCCCCCCGGTAGTAAGCGTGCCCACAGAGTGCCCTCCAGAACATGAGTGAGGAGCCTAAAAGCGAAGGAGTTGATTTTCCCCTGGACGACAGTATCTCGCTGGTTGAAGATGCTGAAGTGCAAATTTGTTTTCCCAAGAGCGGCGTTGATCTTGCCAAAGCACGTATTGAACAGCTTGACCAGGAAAGAGCCGAGCGTGTGGCAAAACGGCGCAACCCATCGAACCCAGTGAAGAAGGTACTGCACCGCATCATACCCTATGGCGGTATCTTGTCATCCGGTTTCAACCTCGCCAGCTCCTCCCTTGGTGCAGGCATCATTGCCCTTCCATACGCTTTCAACACGTCTGGTCTGGTGATGTCGATTGTGTACCTTGTTGTTGTGGCAGTACTCACGGTTTACTCATTCACGCTACTTGGTATCGCTGGGAAGCGGACGGGACTGCGTAACTACGAGCAGATTACACGAGCGTTGCTCGGTCCTGGAGCTGACTACTTTCTGGCTTTTGTTCTGTGGCTCCTGAGCTTTGGTGCGGAAGTGTCTTACATCATCTCGATGGGCGACATTGTTGAGGCGTTTACGTTAAACGCGACTGGGGCTCCAGACTTCCTGAAATCATTGTCCGGGCGCCGACTGCTGACCAGCATGGTGTGGCTTGTTAGCATGTTGCCGCTCTGTCTGCCCAAGGAGATCAACTCGCTGAGGCACTTGTCCATTATTGCAGTGCTCTTTATTGTGTTCTTCGTCATCTGCATGATCATTCATGCAGCACAAAATGGCCTTGCCCACGGCACTCGGGATGATCTGGTGTACTTCCAAACAGGTAATCAGGCTATCCAGGGACTCTCCATCTTCACTTTCGCTTTCATCTGTCAACTAAACTGCTACGAAGTTTATGAGGAACACTACAAGCCATCTGTTACACGTTTGACAAAGAGTGCTGGGCTTGGTGTGTTTCTCTGTTTCATTTTATACTTCTCCGCCGGTTTGTTCGGTTACCTGGACTTTGGGCCGAACGTGACAGGCTCTGTGCTGAAAGAATATAACCCCATCGAGGACAAGATGATGGCAGTCGGGTACGCAGGTATCATACTGAAGCTGTGTGTCGGCTACGGATTGCACATGATTCCTGTGCGGGATGCGATCTACCATGTTGTCCGTATTGATGTGAAAGCTATTTCGTGGTGGAAGAATTCTCTGGTGTGCGGCTTCATGGCAACAGTGTCTCTCATTGTGGGGCTTTTCATTCCCAGTGTGACGATTGTCTTTGGGGTCGTCGGCGGTTTCTGCGGGGGCTTCATCGGCTTCATCTTCCCTTCGCTGCTGTACATGTACAGCGGCAACTGGACGCTGCGGTCGGTTGGCGTGCTTCACTACCTGGGGACATATTTTCTGCTCATCGTCGGCGTAATTGGTGTCGTCTTTGGCACCGCTGCCGCTGTGTACGGGGAGGTGGCTAAGTGATGTCCACTTCCCGTGTTGTACAACCACCCATTTTTTTTTCCTTTGGGTTAACTTTAAGATTTGCTGCCATGGAGTGTACATTACGACTCATCGCGTAGAACAGTTTGTCTCTCCGTGTGTTGCACTTCATTCTTTCTGATGGTTGGATCCTTCGAATCCACGCCCCTGTTGTGTATGTTTTACTCAAATCTCCTGCTCTGGATCACGCCTCTTCCTATTGTTGTATTTATTCCCTTGCTTCAAAGCACCTGATCTGTTCTTTTTGTTTGTTTCATGGGGGATCTGAGCGTTGACCCTTTTGTTTTATATATATATTTCGCTTCGCTCCCCCTTCCCTTCAGGTAAAAAAAAACAAAGAAATGGTTGATACTTTTTTTTTTTGGGGGGGGGGAGTTATACGACGTGAGTGTGGGTATGCTTGCCCCCCTTAAGGGCCCCTTTTTTTGTCTACTTCAACGTTAATGGCTGCGCGTCATCTGACGAACAGAGAAAAAACAAAGCAAATGCGTTTTTTAATACCTCTAAGGCCTCCATGCGGCCACTGATCGAGTTGCTGCACTCGCCTGTTCTGTGCTGGGTACTTCCTTGTGGTATTGTGGTTCAAGTGGCACTTTCGGTCTTGTTGATTGTGTGGGTGTGTGTATGTAGGTGTAGGGTGGCTGCGTATGCGTGTCCCACGCCCCCTTGCGTGGCGCTGTGTGCTGCGGCAGCCGTCGCCACGCTGCCTGGTGGCTGTCGCCCATACACGGACGTTGGTGTATGGCGTGTGCACCTCATGGAGGTTGCTTGACTGAGAGGCAGGCCAGAATCCGGCAGATGTTGTGTGCACCGCTGTGGATGCAAAGGCAACGGCTGGGGTGGATAGGCAGTGCCGCTTTGATGCGTGCTGTGGCGCATCTCTGCCTGGAATTGTAGGGTGTGGGGTTGCAGAAACTGAATGGCGTTGTTGTGCCCTTCACGGTGTGTGGTGAAATATATTCTTGTCTTTTTACTGTGCGCTGCCGTCGTGTACGCAGCGCGTCGACATATCCGCGCAGCTGCTCTAGGCTTGGCCCAGCTGCAGAGGTCCTCTGCGGATCGCATCTCGGATCTTTCCAGCAACGTCTTCGGGAGCCCGTTGAAGACATCCAGCGGGGGCTGGGGGTGAGAATGCTCTATCAGCGCCCCACGGAAGTGCGTAAACGTTGCAATTAGCTTCCTTCACGAGAGTGACTGGAAGCGGGCACTTTGCCTGGGGGAATAAGATGTAAGGGGAAATGCTTATAGTCCAGCACACCGCTGCGCCATAGTTCTCCCCGAGTGCGTTGGCGACTGTGCTACCCATTGCGTGACACAT